GTTCTCCAGCCCGTGGCTGCTCTTCAAGCAGCTGCGCCTCGCCGAGGGCGTTCTGGGAGTGCCCAGATGATCGGGAGTTCCCCCTCCCCCTCCTCCTCCTCTTCCTTCTCCTCCTCCTCCTCCTCCTCCTCCTCCTCCTCCTCCTCCTCCTTCTCCTCCTCCTCCTGCAGATCCTCCTGGCCGAGGCCTGGCGGGCGCGTAAGCACACCATGCCAGGGCCGAGGAGGGCCTTGGCCAGGCGCGGTGGTGGCGCGTGGGTGTCCGCTGCGCGCGCAGAGGGGGGAGGGGGCGGGAAAGACGGGGGTGATGACTGGGGGGGGAGGGATATCATGGCGGGGGCCAGGATATTTCCCCAGATTTCATGGCGCCTCTTCTTGTTTCATTACGTCCCTGGCCCCCCCGCTGGGCCGCGCACATGCCGCCGGTCATGATTTGCACCTCCCCCCTCTTGGACACCCCGCTCTTGGCCGCTCCCGAGATAACCCCGAGCCGCCGCCGCAGGGCCGACGTATGATCCAAAAGCTCAGCCCGAAGACCCGACAGCGAGAATCTCCAGGGGGGTCCAAGGTTCGGTCGGCCTGGCTGCGTCGCCGTCGGTTGTGCCCTGGTCGGTTCGGGTCGGTCGGTTGTTGGGCTCAGGGGCGGCGATAGGGGGGATAGGCATACAGTCGGGGCCCTGAAGAAGGAACCCTTTTCGTTGGTGAGGGGCTCCGCGTTCCTCAAGTGTTTCGCAGCTTGCCTCAGATGTTCCTTATGTTTTCGATCGGACATCGAAGTTTAACTCATGGAAAATAGGGGCCTCGTTCCTTGTTTAGGGTTCCTTAGGTCAACGCTCCGACTGTAGGGGGGGATGCATCGACCCCCAACTGCCCATGGATCGCCGATCGGGGCCCGATCGCCCCCAGCCTGCCCATGAAGGTGCGGAGTCGTGGTCGGAGGCCTGTGGCCGATCTATGGGCGATGCATCGCCGATTCTAGGTCGATGCATCCCCCCCCTATGCCAGTTCCCCCCCCTACAGTGGGGGCGCGTGCCAAGAAACCAGTTGGATTTTGCCAGGGTGCCCTGAGTTTCTTGGATTTCGATGGGCGCCCAATAAGATCTTGACGGTTTTCGATCGACGAATGTTGATTTCCACTGAACAAATCGCGGATTTCAGGGTTGGGTTTCTTGCGGAGGTTTCTTGTGGCCGAGCCCCTACTGTATCGCCGATTCTAGGTCGATGCATCCCCCCCCTTGTGGCAGTCCCCCCCTATCGTTGCCCCGCATGTGCCGTTGCTGCGTCTCGGGCCGGGCGGAAGGGGGGGATTGGGAAAGGGGGGGGTACGAAATTTGCTGCATGCAGCTGGTTTCGGCCCCACCGAGGGGCCCGTTCCTCGATACATGGGCGCCTCCGGCGCCGGGAGGCGCCGGGAAAATCAGCTACGTGAGCTGATTCTCAAACCCCCCCTTTTGCTATCCCCCCCTTTCGCCCGACCCGAGCGTCGCCGCGCCCATTCTAGGCTGCGTGCGGCCTGTCGGTCTCGGTGCCGCTGTCGGCTGGGGCGGCTTTCGGCTGCGGCGCCTTCGCGGGCAGCCTCGGGGCAGAGCAAAGCGCTTGCTCTGCGACCCGCTCGGGGCCAATGAGTCTGGAGTCAAGGGAGGAAAAACCACCCAGACCGGACAAGTGGCTTCGTCTAAACGGCCCTGGGCGTCCATTACACAGCCTTGCCCTTTTCGGTCCTTTCTTTGGGCGCGTTTACTAAACGGCTTCGCGTGTTGGGGTGGTTATCATGGGGGGGGATGTTTTGACTTCTATAGAGGTCCGCGCGAAGGATAGACAAATCAGAGGTCGACCGTCGAGGTCCGATTTGTCGAAGGTGAAAGTAGGTTTCCAGGAGCGAGCAATGTGGGTGTTTCTGTTATCAGTCACAGGTGTTCGTTTGGGGATCGGTCCTCCTCTCCCTCCTCCTCCCCCTCCCTCCTCCACCTTCGATGACTCCCTACATACCGCTCGATGCCCGGGGGGCCCAGACCCAGACGTCAGTGTCTTGAACAAGTCAAGACGGAGATTCTTCGCCGTTTTCGGCCCTCCTGGGGGGGGGGGGGGCGGCTCGACGTCGTCACGGCTGGATCCGCTAGGAAATTCTAGGCGAAGCGCACTGTCGGAGAGGCCAAGGGGGGGGGGGGGGGGGGGGCGATGCTTCAGAGCCGGCAGGGAGGAGGGGCGGTCCCGGGTGAAGACGAATGAGGGTGAGGCCTCATGCCCGCCGGGGGGGGGAGGTTCCACACACCCCCCCTGGCAGGGGTCGGCCTCGCCTCGTCGGGCGCGCCGCGCCGAGGAGGCTGCGTCGTCGTCGTCGTCGTCGTCGTCGTCGTCGTCGTCGTCGTCGTCGTCGTCGTCGTCGTCGTCGTCGTCGTCGGGGCTTCGGGGCTTCGGGGCTTCGGGGCTGTCGGCGGGAGGCGCCTCGTGGCGCCTCTCACGAGTAACAGCGTGCAGTGAGCTGCGGCAGCAGGGGCGGGTGCGGTGCTTCCTCGAGGCTCGGGCTCCCCGTTGCATCCCTGAGGCCCAAGAAAGGGCTCCAAGACAACCAGGCGCTGCAGAGAGGCCGTCGAGGAGCCCAAGGAGCCCCCCAGCAGACACAACGTCCCCAAGAGGCCCCCAGGGGGCCGAAAACTATCGAGTCGTCATGTCGTGTTTTTCTGTTCACATCGAGAGAAGGTGTAGGAGCTCCCATTGTCGTCGTCTTCGGGCCCATCCCTCGCCGCGTCTCCCGGGGCTCCTGGCCCAAGGCCGCAGGAGGATTCGGCATGGGCGTCCGTGCGAGCCTCGCATCCTTGCCCCGAGCCACCGCTGCCGAGTCTTTACTGTGCGCGCAGCCGCTGTTGCGCGTTCGAGCCGAGCCCAGGATGCAGTCAAAAACCCTAATACGGACGCGCGACTTTGCTCGGGGTACCGGTACCCTTGCGTCCTTGCTCTTCCTTGCTCTTGCGTCCTTGGGGTGGTCGTCGTCCGCCGCCCCGAAAATCCCAACTTCGGCTTCCAAGGGTCTTGCGTCCTTCCCGCGCGTCCTTATTAGGGCTTTTGACTGTAACGGGCCGTTCGAGCCGAGCCCCAGGGTACGGCAGGCTCGCGCCCGAGGAGGGTTGGGAGCGCAGCGTCCGCAGCGGGAGCCGCCTCTGGAGGAGGCTGCATACCTGGCTCGGGCGCGCCGCCCTGGGGCACGGCCCTGGACCGACACGCGTCGACAGATCTGGGGCGGCAAAGCGGGGGGTGATGACTGGGGGGGGGGGGATCTCATGGCGGGGGCCAGGATATTTCCCCAGATTTCGTGGCGCCTCTCCTTGTTTCATTGCGTCCCTGGCCCCCCCGCTGGGCCGCGCACATGCCGCCGGTCATGATTTGCACCCCCCCCCTCTTGGACACCCCCCTCTTGGCCGCTCCCGAGACAGATCTGGGCATCGACCCCAGCCCGATTGGCAGCGGAATTGGAGCAGTGCGCCCGGGAGCGTTTCCCGGCAGGGGGCGAGGCCGACCTGGGCTGAGGATTTCGGCTTCGCGATCTGAGCGCGCGGCGCTCCGCACCCGAGTGGGCACGCCGGGCGCTTCGACCGCCGATCCGCAGAAGCACGCCCAGGCGCGGACCGGCAAGTCGTGGCGACTGCCTCCGACGCGCATCGGCGTCACCCCAACATGTTTCTGTTATGTGTGCGTCGCCCCCCCAGGGGGCGATGCGGCCACCGAGAAGTCTTCTAGTAGATGCGTCGCGGCGGGCGCTTTCTGGCCACACCGGTCGGGAAAGGATATACTTCAAGCTGGGTCTACTATCTGTTCGGGCCAGACGCGCGCCGCCAAGGAGGACATCTGGTATTCGTATGTCCCCGTGCGTCCCAGCGCATCTTGCTCAACAGACGCCCCTCTTCACTGCAGCCTTCGAGGGCGTGACTCGCGTGCTGCAGTGGGGCAGAGCCGCCGAAGGCGGCAAGAGCCAGAGCGTCGATCGTAGCACTTTGGTGCCCGGAGTGCCCATCGGCACGTGCGCGTGCTTAGATTCTGACGATTCCAGGATTTAGTGATTCCGGGATTCTGACGATCTCGATTGAAAAAAAACTTTTGGGGCTCCGCGCGGATTTCTTGGATCCGCGCTGGGCCCCCCCTGGCGGCACCTCGGGCGTGCCCCTGGCGCGCTCCGCGCGCCAAGGAGGGGGGTCTGGCGCAGATCCAAGAAATCCGCGCGGAGCGCCAAAATTGTATGTTTTTTGCGTTTTGTTTGTGTTTCTATGATCCCCGCTTTGCGATGAAGAGCCGAAGCTCGCGCACAACCTGCGACTCTTCTGGTCCAGTGGGGCGCAGGTTTGCCGATGTGGGGATGCCCTGTTCACGGACTATCGCAACGCAAGGAGGAGGAGGAAGAGGAGGAGGGGGAGGAGGAGGGGGCGCATTGCAACGCATGGAGGGGTAGGAGGAAGAGGAGGAGGGGGAGGAGGAAGGATGCCCGGTGCACTGGGGCGCATTGCAACGCGAGGAGGAGGAGGAAGAGGAGGAGGGGGGGGAGGAGGAGGGGGGAAGAGGATGAAGGAGGAGGAAGGAGGGGAGATGGAGGAAGGGAGGGGGGAGGAGGAGGCAAAAGTGTGGGAACTGCGTTCCTCACCCTCCTGGGGGGCCCATCGGCTTCGACGTCCCTCTCAAGAGATCGTCGATGTGATGGGTTCCCCCAGGGTGGTAAGGACCACAGCTCCCCCCGTAATGGCTGGTCGTCCTCCTCTCTCTCGTCGTCGTCTTTTCTAGTCCTCGAATCCCCTCCACCCCCCCCCTCCTCCACCTCATGTTTCCTTTCCTTCCTCTCTTTCATCTCCTCCTTCTCCTCCTCCTCCTCCTCTTTCTCCGCCTCCTCCTCGTTGTCATCCTCCTCCTCCTCCTCGTCCTCCTCCTCCTCCTCCTCCTCCTCCTCCTCCTCCTCCTCCTCCTCCTCCCCGTTCACCCTCCGTCACGGCTTCGCCTCTCGCCCCGCCCTCGCCGCAGGCGGAGACGTCGTCCCTTCAGAACTTCCAGGTGCCTCTGGCGGCGTCGTCGTCGTCGCAGTCGTTCTCGCCGTCGTGTCCTTGCAGTCGCCGTCGTCGTCCTGGCCGACCCTCGACGTCGCCGCCCGCCGTCGGGGCGTCGCCGGCGGCGTCGACGGCGCCGTCGTCACCGCCGTCGTCTTCAGGGCTCGACTGGGCATCTTGCGGCCGCCTCCAGGCAGGCTCGGGGCCGCCGCGCGACGTAGGGTGGGTCGAAGGGAGGGGGCAGTGCTCTGCCGGGGCGTGCGGTGGGGTGGGGTGGGGGGGATCGACCACGCTGTCAAGGCGCGGCTGCGGCGGCCGCGCACCGCGTCCGTGGCTTAAGCCGGCGCGCTGCCGGGCGAATGGCGCACGAGCGGGCTGGAGACGGACGAGGGCGTCCGCGGAGGATGAGGGAGAAGGGCGTTTAGGGGTCGACAGCGTACAATTGCGTTTTTAATACATGTTCCGCGTGCGGATCATGTATAAAAGATGCAGGGAATTAATATTCAAGACAACGATGAGTTGATGCCTACATTTATTCATAAATTAATCATGTCTTAAAATTCCGATACGTTTAAAATTCCTATGTATCAAAAGCTGCCCTGTACAGTCAAGACGCTGAGATAAGGAACAGAGGAACAGTTTGGGTTCGGAAGGGGCTCGATGTTCCTCAGGTTCTTCCAGTGCTGTTCCTCTTGCCCTCCTGGGGCGCGGAGGCGCTTGCAGGGCCAAGAAGGGGCTTCGTTGCTTATGTAGCGTTCCTTCTTTCAGCGGCCCGACTGCAGGAAAGATGAGCGACGTTCCAGACTTACGCTTGCAGCCTTGTGCCTTCGGCTCCTTCTAACAGTCAGCCCGCGTGGTAAGCATGGGCAACCTTCCCAGGGGTGCCCTTGCATCCTTGCCCGCTCGGTCCATCCTCGGCCACTGTCGTTGACCGCGCCCCGCTCGAGAGGCTCCGAAGTGGCCCTCCAAGGCCCTTGCATCCTGACCACGCATCCTTACTAGACGGGTTGACAGTACAGCCGATGGGTGCTGCCTCCCCCTCCCCGTTCCCCCTCCGGGGCGAGAGTGACGACGACGGCAGCGTCGGCGTCGAGGACGACGACGATGACCACCACCACCACAGCGGCGGCGCCAGCGGCGGCGGCACCTGGCGACCCGAGCCGCCAGAAGTCCATCCCGGGCCTCTGCGTTGGGACGCCTCCGCGCCAGCCTGTCGTTTTCGAGGGCCGCGCGGGCTGCTCGAGGCGGCCGCGGGCGTGTCAGGGGATGCTGCTCTACAGTCAAGGCGCTGAGGTAAGCGCCGCGGGCTCACCGTTCCATAGGGCATTCTTTGGTGGTTCCTCTAGCCCAGGCAGGAATCCTTTCTCCTCCTCCTCCTCCTCCTCCTCCTCCTCTCCTCTCCTCCTCCTCCTCTCCTCCTCCACCTCCCCCTCGTCCTACCCCTCCTCCTCCTCCTCCTCCTCCTCCTCCTCCTCCTCCTCCTCCTCCTCCCCCTCGTCCTACCCCTCCTCGTCCTCCTCTAGGCCCGAGAAGTGCACCTCTGCTTCCCCCCCATCTATCGCCGCCCCACTGCGACGCCCCGACCGAGAAGGCCCGCCCCCTCTCACTTCCCCCCCGGGCTCGCCGCCGAACAAACGAGCTCCGGTTCTTGTTCAGCGCTCCTCTCGACATCGCTTGGACGTGTGCATGCTTTTGCTCGGCGAGGACCATCGAGGAGCAGCCTCGATCATCGAGCCACAGATAAGCACGCACGGAACCGACAAGTGCACGGGAAATGGGCGTTCGAGCGATGGCAAGTCCTGGCAGTGCCATAATTGTACGGCTTGCTTGTGTCGTGCCGACTTCGGCGCTGATTTCTGACACCGCGGGGATCGTTCAACCTTGAAAACGATCGGCCGTTTCCGAAACATCAGATCGTTCAACATCGACCGATTCTGGATCGCCGGCGGCGTTCAATGTGGAACGCCAGCGGCGGGGTCGCCGCCGGTCGACACGACGCGGACCTACAGTGGAGACCCATGACAAACAGAACAACTTGCTTGCCTCCAGGGTGCCCTGGGTTTCTTGGGCTTCGATGGCTTTTGCTCTCGAAAGCGCGGCGCTCCTGCACCAAAAAGCAATGGACGTCCTGGGGTCTCAGGGTTGGGTTTCTTCCGGAAGGTTTCTCGTGGACCGACCTCCACTGTACAGTGAGCGGCTTGCATAAGGAACTCTTGCTCTTCAGAAGAGGCTCGCTCGGCCGTTCCCTGGGCTCGCATGCGTTGCTTCTTGCTTCCCATGCCTTCGTGATTAGTCATCGCTCCTCACGCGTGACTCCTCGGAACACAAGGCGCCTCGTTCCTTACCTATCGCTCCCCAGGTCAGACCGAGGGCCGCGCTGCCGCAGCGCCCGCGGCCTCCCGAAGGGAGGGGCCGCGGCCCCCCCCCCGCCGCCCCGGGCCCGTGCCCGGCCGCCGCTCGCGGGGCTCCTCCTCCCC